AGTAGACTGTGTTAGTTATTCATATTTATATTGTGAAGTTATTCCTTCCAAAAGTTGTTTCGGCCTTTTCAATAATAATTAAACGAATAAAATAAAGTGATATAAATATGAATTCGCGAATAAAGGGAGACAAGAAGAAACTGTATGAGCTTATATGTAGGTATATAATATCTATATATATATAATTCTGCTGAACGTGTGTATTTCACTGAACTCCTCTTAAACAGCTGGACCGATTGGAATGTTTTTTTTGTATGCGTTTGGGTGACGCCCAGGATGGTTTAGGTTCACAAATCAGCCCAGCAGATGGCGCTGCAGTCGGTACTATCATACTTTGTTTAATATACTAATCGCTTGAAATATCATGCAGGACAACGTCTGTCGGGTCCGCTAGTATATGTATAAGGGCCATACTGCTAAGAGAACCTTCTAGAGAAATTCAAAACGTGTTTAACATACATGAGTCATACTTAACGCACGCTTTAGTATTTACTTACAGAAATAGTTTATCAGATTTAACACATACATTTAAACATTTGTGGATTTAACCATAATTGCCTCTTCTATCTATCTATTAACGCATTTAGGAATGAAAGGATATTTTATGAATGAACCATTGCTATTATGTAATGAAATAATGAAGGCATTGTTTAATAGTGTTCTCGTTACAACAAACTTCCGTTTTCCGTTAGCTGCGGGGTTTTCATTGTAAGGCTTTTTGGTTTTTTCAATAATAGCTCGCCCGTGGCTACGGCCAGATTATAATAACATCTTTCAAAACGACAGAGCTCTGAAATTTCATTTGTATTTCAAATTTATTTTAAGATTAGCTGAGGACTTCATCTCTATTGGGATTAGTATTGTGTCGAGCAAGACTGAAATAAATAATAATTACTGAAATCTATAACTTGGCCAAAGTGCCATAATATATTTTTCAACTTTATGCAACATTATAAATAAAAATGAATCGCAAAATATATTGCTCACCGCAATACTTTAAGAAGGCTGGACCAATTCGAGTATTTTTTGGATGTAATCCTCGTACTTAGAGGAAAGTTTTTATGGAGAGATAATTTAGTACTTAGGTTTTTATTCCGGAAAAGCGAACAGTCTGTGGGATAGTATGTAGCTACTAAAAAGATAGGCTAAGTAAAAAAACCATATCAAAGCAAACGCAGTTTGCAGTGGCAGCTGAAATATTTCTTGAGTTTATTGCCAGTTCTTCTCTTCCGTTCTACGCCCTTGATTTGAGAACTGGCAGTAAATCTAAAATTAGAAGCATTTAATGTACCTATATTCCTTTTTTGACCTTCATAAGTGTACATTGTGTAATATGAATTACACAATGTTTGAATGTATGATTTTGAATTTTTGACTTTTATAAAATCACATTAACTTAATGAATGTATTTCTTGTATTAATCTGTAAAGTTAGGCAAATGAAAATGCTATAGCAAATATTTAAATTATGGACTCCATGAGATTTGCTTTGAAAATCAGATTAACACGAGGTTTTAAAATACTTTTAAAACAAAAAATAATCCCGATGGAATTATAAAGTACACGCAGATACGCAACTGATTTTCTATTCACAAACATATTTCCAAACGCGATAGCGCGTAAACTTCAAAAAATACGAAAACTCCGATGTTGAAATTCAATCAACTGCCACAAAAAATTTCCCTCTGTTTATTTCTGCTTCAAATGAAACTGTCAATCGCTAACTGTTTCATACGTTTGGTGTGCCACGAGAGTTGATTGCAAATAACACTTCTTTCTAACCGATTGTTACAATAAAATCTTGAAAAACGTGATACTTTGATCCAAAAAACAGATGTGTTTTTTCTTCATTAAAACATACATTTACTTGCGGTACCTACGGTGAAGGAAATAACGTGAGATGATCACCTATTTGCTTATTAGAGAAACAAATGATCACGAAATAGATGCAGAAATCTGACGGCCACAATGAAGTAAAAATAACTGATTTAGCTCAGTCTTTAAATTTATTTAACAATATTCTTTTGAGCATTTCTCTTCTACCACGTAAATAGCTATATAATACTTTTATACACCCTAGGGTGAGAGTTATAGTTATGATTTTTAACTAAGATTATTACAGGGTTAGCATGTATCCAAGACTTAACGCTGAGATTAGCTTAGCCTCCAGCTAAGACAGAAAATGTCAAAATACAAATTGATGTTTCATTTCTGCAATACTTTGTTTATTATGCAAAAAAGTTACAAAACAATATTTAAAATCTAAAGCGGTACCTAAGCTAGTGTAGCTTTTTTACTAAAACTAGAAATTCACGAGTAACCTTTAGAAAATGTATTAATTATTTAAAGATGCAATAATTTTATTACGTACGGATCGCAATGTTTGGTTAGGTTATAGCTTGAATTGCGTTGTCACTATAATATGCCAATTGCCAGGCTACCAGGTACAACAATCCCAGTTATTTTAAGATTTCTCACAAAGGGGGTTTGAACAATGACTAACTGACTAAGCACATTTGGATAATGCTGTGTAATTATGTTGTGCATGCTATTATATTTTCAAGCTATTTAATTGCTTTGAATTAAATTCTATTTTTCCAAAGTCTATGGAACTCCGATACAAAATGGCAACACGTTCTTAAAAGACAAATTTATGGTAAAGCTCTGGGCCATTTTTTTTAGGCTTATAGTCAAAGTTTTTGGTAAGTCGTCGATTGCGTGGACTTGAGAAGCTAGCCAACACTAGGGAGAGATTTAGTTTGCTTTAACATTTTTATTAATATTATATCATAGATTGCAGTTTAGTTTAGTTTTAGTTAGTATATTTGAAGTGTGTGGAAAGTACATGTAATTTTATGTTTTTTGTTAGTTATTTATGCACTTTTCGTACTTTTTCAGTTGGTGTTTCTTTTTATTTTTGCATACTATGGTTGCCGGGACGAAATCGCTTGTTAGCGATAAGGCCGCCCGTTGCTTAATAACTTATGTAAGGGAGAAAAAGTAGTAATTTTTTCACTAAAATTAAAAATGACTAGGCCGGTAAATAAAACTCTTTAAACTTCTTGTAAAAATTTATAATTCTAAAATAAATAATGAGAAGGAAACCATTCTCGTTATTTCAGTTTAATGTTTATAAATCTACGCAAAAACGATGTTTTCTTTGAGGAACTGTCCTCAAAGAAAGCGTAGAAAAGTCGAATTGGTTCGGATATACTTCAGTGGGTCGCTGGTTCCACATAGTGGTGGTGCACTGCCAAAACTGCCTTAAAAAACGCTAAGTAGTGGAACGACGAACGTCGAGGTGATACAGATGGTTTTTCGTATTCTGCCTGGACGATCGTTGATGAAACTCAACTGCAGGTATTAATCACATTCACATTGTAAAAGCACATTTATTAAAACAAAGATTTACTTATTTATTAGTAGTGTAGTATTGGCTATAGTTAGTACGTATTGTCCACATTACAGCGACATTAATTAACAGACTAATTAGTGCTTGCATTAGCAGGTTTACCATTATTAACCATTAATTGGTACCGCTATAATATTATGTTTGTAGATACATTAAGTAATGAACTAAGAATAATATGCTTATAACAGGTATGTAACATTATAGCATGTTACATACCTGTTATAAGCTAAGTGCTACATACAATTGACAAGGGGCGGGCGAATCTAGCATTCATGACAGATATTTTTTTGTTTTAGGACTGTTAATATCCATTGCCAAAAGCAATTTTGTACTACATGTCCTTTTTTAGAAATATAGGTTTTATAAAATAATTAATTAAAAATTGTGATAAAACAAGAACCTTTCCAGTAACCTGGATCTTGACCATACTTCAAATTTTAAAATACCGTTTCACAATACGTATATTTGTTCATTCTATAGGGAATAACTGGGCTAGTAAATAAAACTCTTTAAACTTCTTGTAAAAATTGTATTATTCCCTCTATGACCTTTCAATGTTTCAAGTACATTTAGAAGTGGTGGCGCAAGTCACCCCACTACAATTATAATTTAAACTTGCGCAATGACGCAACAATATTATATATGTATGTTATAAATTATATTATTATATACATATACGTTTGCGTCCACCGTGTAGTTTTTCTACGAAGTAAGATTTATAGAAAGAGCAGTTAGTTAATCTCAGTCACTTTTAGTACGTTTTACCAACGACTAATCATTATGTGGAAAAACACATGCGAAGTGTTTCAAGCTCTAAGTACATTTCTTCTACATTTCCACGAAACGAGTAAAATTAAAACTTGAAAAGTTCAAATTATAGTGTTTGAAAGTATTTATTTATATAAGTGTGTATATTTTTTAAATTTGTAAGATTATTTTCAATGTTTACTTTAGGTAAATTACAGTAATTGTAATAAAGAGTTTACCCTTAAAGGAAAGCTTACTTATCTTCCTACAACATCCGGTATTTAATCACGTATCCGTCTTTTAGCCAATCTCTTCTCCGGTCGGTGCGCCCTCTATGGTAACCATAGGGAACTACTTAGATCGCGCATCAGCGCCGGTAAATGCCACTCAAGATGAATCAGATAGCCCCTACCTGGAATTCGGATTATAATAGGTAAGTTTTATTTTAAAGTAAATTATTATCGGTTAGTTACTAACATATTGAATGATGTGTTTGTTATAACTTGGTGTGTCATGATACCTTGTCATAATTAGAGTTACTAGATTAGAATTTATATTTAATTAATAAACCATGACGTCAAGTTTTTACGTGTTAATTATCATTCTGAGCTTTTTGTGTGTTAAAACTTAAAGCCATCATACATACTACTCTAAATAACACTAAACATGACAGTTACATTTGTCTTTTCTCACAAGACAGATATCGTCAAACGTCTTTTTTTCAGCCAAAATTTTGGCGGTAAAAAGTAAATACAGGTTGTTTCAATGTTTGTCGTGGTAGGTTTACTAAAAACATAAAGTAATTATATAAAATTAGTATTTGAACAAAATTATTATTGAATATGTCAAACATTAAGAATATAACGACTGTGGCTCGTTCACTGACCAAACGACCATTTCGAGTTTCTATTGAAGGTAATATAGGATCAGGAAAATCGACGTGTATAAAACATTTTGAGAAGTACAGTATCGTGGAAACACACGCAGTAAGTAATCCTTTTGATTCAACATTTATATATCGGCCAATTATTCAAACTGACTTCTGATAACACTAGACAATTCGATTTAAGTGCTCATTATTTATTATTCTAGGAGCCTATTCAAGAATGGCGCAATGTTAGCGGTCATAACTTACTCGGGTTGTTGTATAGTGATCTTAACAAATGGAGCTTTGCATTTGAACACTATGTGCACCTCAGCCGGTTAAAGATTCAAACCAGTCCACCGTCTAACCCAAATGTTAGCGTGAAGATGTTTGAAAGGTATTATGTTATTAACTTGTAAATTCTTATTTGTATTAATTAAGTTCGAAAAACTATTCATAAATCGTTACCCTTTTATATTTATACTCAATAAGACATGAGTTATATTTATAAATAGCAGTCTAATTGGAAATAGAATGTTTAATAGAACAGAATTACCCTTCAAGCATAGGGGTCCTTTTTTCTAAGGAAATAAACTGATATATTTTGATAATTTTGTTGTGGATTATAAAACTACAAGACCAGGGATAAGGCATTTACATGTACAATGTGTGCTTTAGGTGAGTAGACATGACAAGGCTAAACATGTAAACGTAACATAATATTTCTATTTATTCATTGTCTAGATGTAATTATTTTTAATTTACTTAAAATTGTATTGTTTAATTTCAGGTCAGTACAAAACAGCAGGCACTGTTTTGTAGAGAATGCTAAGAAACAAAATTTTCTTCATGACCCACAGTACCAAGTTCTTGTTACTTGGTTTGAATATACTGAAAAGAATTTAGACATTAGCTTAGATTTAATAGGTTTGTATATTTTTTTTTTCCAAAATTTATCATGTGGATATAGTTTTTTAAACTTATGGTTGCAATAATAGCTATTTTTAGCTATTTTAGTAACAATTATAGGTGATCTAATTACAAACTTAACAAAAAATTGTAGAATTGGAATCTCCTATACAAGGTAGCGCTCTATAATAATTACATCATTAGTAATTTCTTAAACTCATCTTTTTGTCTTACATTTTTATACTTAGACATATTGGTTTCCTTAAAATTCTTGCTTTCACCTAATGGGCAAGTGTTACATACATCAGAACAAAATCTATTGGCTCCTAACTAGTGTTTAAATACACAACCTCTGGGTATAGAGTTGAACCTTAAGCCATAAGACTAACACTACTCTGCTGTTCTTCATAAAAAAACATATACAAGTTTAAATTTTAGTATATTTACGGACAACACCCGAAGTCGTTTGGGAACGAATGATGAACAGAGGCAGGGCTGAGGAATCTGAAGTGCCTTTGGAATATTTACAACAAGTAAGTAATAAAGTTTAATAACAAATAATTTGAAATAAAAAGCCACCTCTGACTATACTGAGCTGAGCAATATACTGTGTTCAATGTCTACTTATTTAAGTCTAGGCGTGAAGCTTAGGGTTGTAATGCGATAAGAAAAATAATCGTTAATACAAATAAAATTTCAAACATAAAGTGCAGTAAGGCTGATTATTTTTTATATTTCTACTAGCAGACTCGGCCAAGCTTTGCTGTGGCTAAAGTTTTTGTTATATTACATAGTAGTAAACTATTCAAGGGAAACGGTAGGAGAACCCTAGTCATGAGGACCACCATGCTTTTTTGGTGGTTATGCCATTAAATTGTAGCTTATGTGAAACATTGGTACTTTCAACACAGCGCCATCTGTTAGAATTGTGACTGTCAAATAATTTGCAATAAAATAATATTACAGGTATAAATGAAGATGTAAGCTACTCTATATTTTAAGTTAGTTCAAACTGTACACGGTGTGCAAATTTGATTGAAATCGGTTAAGTAGTTTAGGAGTCCATAGCGGAAAAACAACGTGACACGTAATTTATATATATTAAGATATATGTTGTATAGATACATGTTACATTTATTCATAAAGTTTGATATTAAATATCTGTATAAATTATTGTATGACCAGTGGTTGCACTTTAAAATCAGGATACTAAGATAGATAAAAGAGGCCTGTTACTAAAAGTAGAATTATATCTGTTACAGGTGCACGAATCATATGAGAAATGGTTAAGCTTCCCCGATGTAGGCTGTGAAGTGTTAACAATTGATGCCAATCGAGACATAAAATATGTTATTGAGGATTTAGAAAGATATACATATAAGATATTAGGTGGTAATCATACTAACTAGAAAAATGCAGCTATGTTAAATAAAATCTGGCCAATTATTCAGTGTAAACTCTAAGTGTAGGGAAATGTTTTCTGTCTAAACAATATAGAAATGTTGATTTACTATTATTTCATATTATAATAATAGACTAAGACTCCACTGCTCGATTCTGCAGATATGTTTCTTTTAATGAATAATTGCTGATATCATCATAAAGTAAATGATGTAAAGAATGGAAAAATTATTAACATACATTAGGGTTGCCAGTTGTAGACAGGTATATTTTTGTTAATAATTTAGTCTTGCAAATTCATTTTAAATGAAAGTTGTATAATGGAGGAGTGGGATCCTGTACTATAAAATGATAACAATCACCCAGTCTAGTACATGAATGCAAAGTAATGACAAACAAAAGAAAGATTTTCATAGAATCTTTGATATATCGACAATAGCTGCAGTTTTTAATTTCTGCATCTTATACCTAAGTTATTTTTCTAATTGTGGTCATTATTTAGATATGATGACATTAGAGCTCATAAAGTTGGGTCTACATTTAAGAGGCTGAGTTTCAGTTCATGGAGTGAACACTCTATGTTTAGTAAGTTAATTTAGAAGAAATCCAACGAAGGCTTCTTTCAAGTCTGAAAACAAAGGAAGCTCTAATATAGTATTTTTATACAAAAGATATTATATGTATAAAAGTCTGACATTACTTAAAGAAACATATTCATCACTTCAAACATTTTTGATACAATCTGTGATTTTTCTATCTTCAAAACTTTTATAATAGCTTTCATAATTTTTAATTAATGTAAGTTTTATTGTTGCATTGTATTTACTGATGGTCTGATTTATATTTAAGAAGAAAGAATACCATTTATGCCAAATAATATAATTTGAATTTAATTAAATAACTATAATTGATAAGTATCAGGTTTCCTTAACATTTAAATATGTACACTTAGTTTAATTTCGTATATAGACTTAACGCACATAACTAATCTCCCGGGTTCGATTCCTAAAGAAAGAAAATAGTTTTGTCATGAATACCTGATCTCATGTTTCCTATAAAGAATAATGATTAATAAATCAGATGCATGCCTCATGTGTGTAGGGTATTGCAAATTGAAATAATTTTATATAAAAACCGCCTTAATATTATGGTAAGAGATAATATGTTAAAAACTATTAAATTAAATCTTTGTTATTATTTTTACTACGGGTATGCCTCCAGTGTTACTAGATATAATAAGAAAATAAAGAAGTTAGTTGACATAATAAATAATTTCATGGAACGGTGTTAGTTTCTTTTTAGTAACGTTTTCTTTGGCCCCGTTGAATGTGACTAACATATTTAAAACACAACACCGGTCATATATAAGATATCAAAATAAGAGCAAAAAAAATGATATGTAAACGTAATACATATGGCTACGTTATATACAAATATGTGGTTAGAACTCATCTATTTCTAGCAAGAACAAAACCATAAGTGCATACTCGCGAGGCAACTACGAATATTGGCGAGTCGAAGCCGCACGAGTGGTATCCAGTCTCGATTTATTTCTAAAATAAATAAGTACAAATTAAATGTATATATGTATCAATACCGGTATGTTATTTAAACGAAAATATCTGGAAAACTTCATGTGATGTTTGAAATGTAACGGATTTAGGTTTTTTTTGCAAGTCACAGATATGGACTCTACAAACCAAAGCCAATAGAAATCACATGGTAAACCTTTTGCCATTCCAATACGACCGCGGTAATTCTTCATTTCTTTTTTTCCGACCGAGATAGTATAATTTTGCAATTTTGAATTTCTTGAAATATGTAATAAATAAAGCTGCACAAGAAAATGGAACATTTCGATATATTTAAATAAGTTGTTTGATAACTTCACCAAAATTTTTTTTTAAAATTCAATTATTCTTCACTTTTAACATAATAATAATAAATTTAAGTCTATCAAAGCTTATTGTTTACTCTCTAGAAATATATTCTTTTACTAGAAACTAACCATTGGTTTAATACATGGATGCTGTTTTACCTTTCTCGGGGGGATGGGAATCCCCGGCCGGTGCGCGGGTTCGTCGTGCGCCCTTTGGGGCGCGCCCCCCTTTTCCCCCTTTTCCCCCCTTAATTTTTTTTCCGACGATAGTAAATTTTCAGTTGACATTTCTTGGTAAAATAACTGCACAAACGTACTCTCATTATAGCGTTACTCTAGAAATATAGTTCTTTTCTAACTAACCACACTTTAATAAATGTTAAAATATATTTCCGTAACCGTATCCGTTTCACAAGTTTCGGATAGTTTTGTATACGTTATAATACCAACTGATAACCTAGACAAGATAAAACCAAGTTATTACATAATATTTGTGTTTGTTTTACTGCAATATTATAACCGTAACCGAAACTAACGGATAATCCGAAACCGATATTATTTTATTCCTATATCCATATCCAATTCCGATATATCATATCCATACATCTCTAGACTGTAAGGCCCGATTTACATTATCTTAGTGTTTAGGAGAGTATTTTAGTACAACTTGAAAGGCAAGTTCTTTAGTGCGTTGCGAGTGAACGTTTACATTTCTTCCAGTAGAGTATCATTACAGCGCCACAATGAACGCGCAACGACGTCGGCAAATACGCTCTATTATACGCAAAATACTAACTGTAGTTATGGAACAAATAGAAGACGAGATTTTATTCGAAATAAATAAACAAAATATAAATAATAAATAAAATAGCTTCTTTTAAGGCAGTGTATGCCGAATGCCTAGCCTGTTTGTTTTTGTATAAATTGTTTTTAACGTTCCACAAACATTTGTGAACAACATATTCAGACACAAATTTGATAGTTGCATCTTTCGACCATTTAGCCATCTTTAAAAATAAAAAAACACGCATGCCTTTGACGGCACTTGTGCACTCTCCTAAAGATTTTACTAAATTACGTGTTTACACACAACGAGGGGGTTGCGCGGGCGCGGGAGGGGTATCACTTGAAACAAAAATAGAAAGCGATTCTATTTTGATTCAACTTGAAAGTCAAGTAGAACCGTACTAAAGCAAGTAGCGTTTACATGTTTCAACTAAAGAACTATCCTAAAGCACTCTGCTAAACACTAAGATAATGTAAATCGGCCCTAATACTTGTGTGTACTTACCTCCTCTTAATCCAACAACTGGTGAATACTTTATTTCAAAAACCACAAAGCTGATTTTATTAAATATTTGTCTGATCCTTAATTATCAAAGAATCATCTCGATATACTAAGAAACTATGTGCATTTATATAATATATAACCACATTTCTAAGAAATAAATAGATCATCACACTCAAACATTTTTCCGACAATATCATATACACCCTTTTTAAAGTCTGTTAAAATAATTAATTATGATCAGGATTTAAATAAAATAACAATTTCATAACTATTTTATTATACATTTATAATTTATGCTTAAATTACATATCACATTTTGAAATTTAGATAATTTAATTAAGTAATTTCAAAATATGACATTTATCTACAAAGTCCAAGATCGTGAAAAAGGAAGCTTTTTTAAGACATTATGTACATCATAAATTGTTTTTTTTTTCTGTAAGGTAACAGTTTAATTAAAGACTTGTTTTAAGAATGTTTGACTACTCCATTATTTTCACGATCCATGCTTAGTTTAACGGTAAAGATGATCAGCTTTAATATTAGAGGCTATCTCGCTCTCCCATTTATCACCGTTCGTTAGTAACTTTTCCTTATTGTAGAGAAGTTCTTCGTGAGTTTCAGTTGAGAACTCAAAGTTCGGACCTTCAACAATTGCGTCTACGGGACACGCTTCCTAAAAAAATAAATATAAATGTTATTTATTAATGGAGGAAACAATTAATACATATTTAAAGAAAAAAAACCGGATTAAAGTTATGTATTATTATAAATTTACAATTAACATAATTTTAAATTTATAATAATACATAACTTTATATACATATACAATTAACACAATTTTAAATTTATAATAATACATAACTTTAATCCGGTTAAAAAGTTTTTTCTTTAAATGTGTAAAGGTTATGTCAATCAAAGATAATACTAAATTAATACATATTTTTTTTGATGTTGTAAAACAAGAGAAACATTTCGCTATTATATTATAAGTTTAAATGTATAATATATGTAAGAATAATAAAGTTATACCCGTGTAAATTAAAAGTGTCACTATTAAATAATAGCAGAAATAGTTTTTGTTTTAACAAAGGATGTTTTTATTTAACAAAGAAATAAAAACATTTCAGCAATATGTATTATATACTATTGAGGGTCTTGGCAAGAACTGAATAAATTAGTAATGTAATAAAAATATGTATATATATAGTGTATTACCTGACAGAATCCACAGTAGATACACTTGGTCATGTCAATATCATATCGCGTTGTTCGCCGAGAGCCATCGGCACGCTCTTCTGCTTCAATAGTGATTGCCTGAAATATCAAAGTATTTAATTGGGAACTGTACCAGATATATTTCTCCTACTGTCTTTTTAATCTTCAATATAACTAAAGTATGAGATCAGACTTAGTCTTAGTTCCTATCCCAATCAAGAATCAAACCTAAACCATAAACCGGCTTAGGTTCTCCTACACATCTCACACTCTCTAATATTTTTTATGCACTTTTAACTCAATATACAGTTGGCATTAAAGAAAGTAAAAATTAATCTCAATATTAAACCACTGATTCCTTTTTCCTTCTACTATGATAACTTCTTTCTTTCTTTTGCCATGATTTTTAATTAATTTTTTTTTTTAATTTGGCAAGTTATAACAAACTTGATAGATGTTTTAAAGTCAGTAAATTTTTCTTTTTAAATAAAATTGTATTTACATTTAAAATAAAAGCAATAATTGCAATATATCAGTTGACATTCTATACCTATGTTTTACCCACCACTTTTCAAGCATTTTGATTAGAAACTTCATACAAAAGTGATTTCTGTATAACCTTAACAGAAAAAGAGCCTATTACAATCCTGGATATTTTCTATATGTATACAATATTTAAATCAGGATATACCTGTGCAGGACAAATAGCTTCACATAGTTTACAAGCAATGCATCTCTCTTCTCCAGAAGGATAACGTCTAAGAGCATGTTCACCCCTAAACCTGGGAGAAAGGGGCCCTTTCTCAAATGGATAATTAATAGTTGCAGGCTCCTGAAATTAACAACATACAATATTTAAGTTAAATATTATTTTATACAGTAAACTTAATGTAGTATGTGATTTAATGTCAAACTCTAGAATACTAACATATACTTAACAACAACTCTCTATAATGTCAGAAAATATACGGTCCCTTTAGCATTTTTGCTAATAAAAGCACAAAACTTTAGTGTTAAGAAATATCTAAACTGCACTGTCATTATTGCCTGGGAGTCAATCATATCCCTCTTTTAGTCTATAAGTAGTATATTTGTCATTATATAGTATCATTAACAATTCAAAGCATGTCACAAATAATCATAATTTAAGTTGTTATTATTCAAACCTAATTAACTATAAAAATAAAAGCTTACTTTGAAAATATGAGCAAAAGTAACAGCAAAACCTCTGATCAACTCCGTCCAGAACATTGTCTGGGCCGCTCTATCTGTCATAGCCTTAAAGCTCATATCTGGATCCTCTGCATTCACATATTTATATCCAGGTACTTCTATTGGGTAGACTTTTTCAGGTTTTCCCTCACTTGGTGTACTATACTGAGCATGACGAAGAACAGAGCTACTGCTATTGATTGCTCGAACTATAAATTTAAAAGGTCATTGTCATAAAGTTTTGGTTAGTCATTAAATTTTTACTATATAAAATTGTTTTGATAAATTCTGAATCAATTTTCGGTAACAATAACACAAATTTCTTGCATTCATAAGGTTTAAAATTAAAGAGGTATAAGTGAACTTTAAAAAACCTATTTGCCCAGACGAATTAATGCTATAATAGCACCTATTTACTGGAACCAGCTGATAATTTTAAATCAACAATGTAAGGTTATAGAAAATTGCGTAACGTAATTATCACTATCTTGGCAGCTTTTAAGAATCTGGGTGAAGAGCAATAAAGGGAGTAATATTATTACCTCGCGAAGTCACCGAAAATATCTTAGCAAGAGACATTATATCGTTCTCAAGTTTTGCGACTCGAATTTATTTTATTCAAGAACGCTGAACATTATTGAGCTTTGACAGTTGTCTAATGTCTTCTTCTGTGCTACTGTCGTCTATCCGTATCCAGTATCAATGTCAGTGATGAAAAACGTCAATTGTCAACCATCTACTAAAAGAAAAAACATGAAGATGGGCTACTTAAAATAAAATCCACAAACATATTTTAAAGATAATTTTTTACTTAAAAAGTTAAAAATTTAAATTTATTTAAATCCTTAGAGCGCTTAAGACATTGACTTACGCATGACTTACGTTTCAATCAAAGAGTGACATATAATTATTTGTCACACACAGTTTTTGACATCTTTTTGGAAAATCAAACGTGAAACGACAAAGCTTGTATCAGCTTCAAAACAATAGTGACGTTTACAAAATCTCGTTGGTGGCTTTAATTTTGCGATTATTTTGCCACGCACTATGGGAGATGCTCAAACTCCTGATGTTGAATCACCAAAACCCGGTCCAGGGGATGAATCCCAACCTGAGGAGGTAAGATCACCCCATTATTTATGAATATCAAATCTTTAATATAGGCTTACTCAAAGATGTTCTTATTAGGACCGGCGGCTCTTTGGAGGCTTAGAATTTCAAGTTTCTGAAGTAGTCGGAAGATTAGAAGCTGTAGTCAATTCTCAGGAATCCCAAGAAAGCATGGAAGAGGAAGAAAAAAAGCCAGAACCGCGAAAAATCAGCGGCAATTACTTTGAACCAGAAGAAATGGCAATGGATGAAATTTTGAAGGTTTTGGAAGATCTCGTACTGAAGACTGATCCAAGTTGTGAAAATACCGAGCCTCCACTACTTCCGACTGATCCTGTTACGCGTGCTGCTATATTGTCCCACAGTATTTCGGCTCTTTTTGGTAGACTCGAAAGAAATCATGCGGCAAGGCTTGGAGCTCATATAGCTAGTGAAACTACGCTTTGGATGTCGCATATGTTTAAGTAAGTACTAATGACCGTAAAAATTCCTATAAAAAACTTTACTTACTATAAACATTTTATTGTAATATTTATCAATTTTAATGGAATACTTAGATAGATAGATACCACAGTTTAGTAATCAGTGATTACTGATAATTTTAAATTTGAATTATGGCAGGAAATAGTGCACCAAGTCCTTGATAAAAATTTAATACAATTGTTATCAGAGAAAACAATTAATTTAACTAGCCTTATCAATTGGTAAAATGTATGGTTAAATAAACTTGCTTTTCTGTCTTGTAATGTATTTAATTTGATAATTTATTGTTATGATTGGTGTATATAACTCTTTCTTATTGTACCTCTTTGGCTTATATTTTAATATTAAATATAAATAGATACTCAACTTTTAAGTACATAATATTGAAAAAATAAATAACTAAATCATAATATTTTTACATTCCTATTTACAAAGCTCTAAAGATGTATAATTTTACAAGGTTTATTAGTAAACATCAATCAACATTGTCCACTTATTGCCTTGGACTCTTTACAGATGATTAAACTGTTAACTGTAAACACTGACAGATATTTGCATTTCTTACATATGTAGAACAATTCTTTGTTTTATACATTTTGACCGACAATATACATTCCATTCCAAGATAATACATCTTTAAAAGTTTTAGAACTATGTTTACAAATGTTGCTATGTTTTTAAAATGAAATGACATTGGGTTTCTTTGCTGGAAAGATAAATTTAATTTTTAATACATAAAAGAACTTAATCTTGCTGTTTAGAGATATTATCAGGTTAACAGACAGAGAAAAGTATCTGTGAACTTTATTTCTATAGATGGGATTTAAAGTGAAAGTAATACCTTTCAGACTCACAGACTATAGTGCATACTACCATCAAGAACAAATGGAAGGTTTAGTAAGAGTAACAAGAATGTTGCTACATCACAGATACCCACGTTACTTAGAGGATGGGGGTAAGTTTTTTTGTAAATGTTTACACAAAATATTAATATCATCTTTTTAATTATTTACTTGTAAAATTATTTTTTATGGAATAATATTACTTATTAATAAAATTTTGCTTCTCCATGTAAAGGGTCTTTTTTAATTTAATCATCTGTATTTTAATATTTGCATTCTAGCATGTTTTGGTTGTTTCTGAACTTAGTTTATTATCTGTTTAATTTCAGCACTAGCATTTGCAAGTCGTCTCCCGAGTATATACAGCTGTGTAGCAAGTCCATTGGGGGTTGTCCAACATTTGTGCAGACAGCTTGGCCTTCCACTTGCCTGTGTAAGACCAGTGCCTGTTGATGCTACTGGTGCGTAATTTAGCTAACTTGTGCTAACTTTTAATTTTCTATACCACTCAGACCAAGAAAAAGATTTAGCCAAACTTGTCACCTATCAATCACACTATAATGGTATAACACCAGAAATCCAAATTTAAAAAAGTATGGTACAATAATAATGTTAGTATGGCAACTTTTCTTTTTGCTGTTGCATCGATATAACTTGAGTATTAAGAATAAAAAAATCATAATATAATAATTACTTTTCAGGCCGTGGAATCGACATAGAAGCACTGGACAGACTTTGTGAAGAGGATATTAATGGTAACCGAACCCCACTTTTAGTATTAGGTGAGGTGGGTGGACCTCCATTGGGCACAGGGTCGGCACTTCGACCCCTGGCTGAAACCTGTAAGAAACGGAACCTTCACCTTCACGTGAGAGGACACGCATTGGCTTTACCCGCTGCTTTGAATAGAGATCAGGTAATTTAATATAATATGGATAACACTAAATCTTATTTCAATATTAAATTCATATCTGGACTATTGTCAAGAGTTTGAACCTTGAACATATGAAACCGGGTTGTGTATTAATGAATGTTTATTTTGTAAAGTGAAATAAAATATTGTGAAGTCTAGAAGTAAAATACTGTGAAGAATAAAATATTGGTAAAATAGAATAAAACTCTGCAAGTCAGGCACAGACGGCTGATCAGTTGTCTTTAAAAAATAAAAATGATCAAAGACGGATACGAACACGAACACAAAATAATAATTAAACACGAAACGGATACGAACACGGAATAAAATAAAAACAACGCACAACCCTGTTGTGTTAATTCCGCACATAAAAAGAAAAATTCATTAGGGAGCGTTCAAGTATTACGTCACGCAATTTTTGGAGATAATTGACCCCCCATGTAACCCGCCGTAACGTTTTTCTGTACCCAAGTATAGTAAAACGTTTCGTGACCACCTAGTGCCTCTTTATACCTAAAAGTTACCATCATGTGGTGTAAAGTACTGGAAAGTCGAAAATAATATTAACAATAACGCGTAATTAAATCCCCGCCCGGCATCGTAACGTTTTATAAAAAGAAGAAAATTCGTTACGTAATACTTGAACGCTCCCTTAGTGATACAAACGTAATTCGAACGTACGACCTCAGGGTTGAGGTCCCACGCTTACGCCACTAGGCCAACACTGCTCTGTTTTTTTTTATTTTTTTCTTTATTTTTTCTTTTAAGTACTGTTGTATTTAAGAAATGTTTTATAGCCAATTTTGTTTCTGTTTCTGAATTTTAATGTTTTCATTAATTATTTTCAGACCTACAATATAGCCGATTCTCTCACACTTACGCCCGGCTCTTGGTTCGGCGTTCCCGGATTACCCACTGTCGTATCCTTTTACCTCAAATCAGATATTACCTATTCGTACACTATATTTGTACTACTACTTGTATTTGTTTGGCGTGACTAAAGCAATATATTTATGGCAGTAATAACGTCGGTGACGTGACCATACAAAATCGTTCAACGTCTATCCTAAGAGCGATACGGTAATATTATAGTAACGAGAATACTCTAAATACATTTTTAAATACTATCTTAATATAAATAAACTATGCGTCACGTTGGTTCCTTAACTACGGAACCGATTTCAAGCAAATTTGCACACCGTGTGTAGTTTGATCCAACTTAAAAGATAGGATAGCTTACATCTCAATTTATACCCGCAATATTATTTTATTTCAAAATGTTTGTTTTTTATTTGACAGTCACAGCTAACAGATGGCGCTGTGTTGAAAGTACCAACGTTTCACAGAAGCTACAATTTAATGGCATAACCACCAAAAAAGCATGGTGGTCATCATGACTGGTGTTCTATTTAGGATAGATAAATATAGTTTTGTGAGATTTAAATATTAATTTCTTAACCTAGTTCAGACATTTTATCGAATACCAGAACCTATAACAGCTAATGATCAATTGAAGGGAGTGAATGCGGTGAGTTCTATATTTATTAATTATGCTATAAAGTTTAATGGTTTCCGTAAATTACTCCAGTGCCTCCAGTTTATATACATTGTGTCCATATTCTAGGGATTATTATATTTTACGCAATTTTTATTTTATTTTATTTTTAATGTTTAGACTAACTCAAATAATGTCATTTTTATGGTAAAACTTTATATATTATGTAGGTATGACAAAATAAATATATATATTAATATAAAGAAAATAAATTAATTAATAACTTTCAAGGCGGGTAGTCGCGAAGGGACATTAGCGGTTCTATCTGGCCTTTGTAGTGGGTCTGGTCGTCTCAGCGCACTTCCATTATGGACCTGCGCACGCGCAGCTGGCGCTAAACGGCTATCGAGGAGACTCGATGCGGCTTTTAGATCAGCGAGGGCAGCACGCGCGCTGGTTGCAAGTGCTGATTTAAGGGTTTTGGTTAGTTTCTTGGTTTATATACAATAAGATTTTTTTTAATGTCCCAATACAGAAACAATAAAACTAGTGGAGAAATTTGTCTACAATTTTCGATTAGTTTGTAGGATAATAATAACCTGTTAACGTGAAGTGGGGTAAATAAGTTGATAAACTCTGAATATTATTTTTTGCCGGAATTCGAACCTTCCACTTTTACTAAACTGTAATGATCGACCATTTATAAAACACGAAATATTAATGTACTCTGGCATAATTGTAATTGAATTAAAAATAGTCGTATTTTAAACTGTGTAATTAATACGTGTTTGTTTTAAAATTAGACTCTGTGTTCACTTAACACATTTAGAGCTAAAAATAATTGATAATAATTTTCAGAGCGAACGACCGGGCGGCGATGAACCACCAAATCTTGATATTGTTGTAAGTACTTTTATTTAATTATTATTTTCATAAAAATAGATATAATTGTTAGTTATAAAAAATTTCAAATTAAAATTGGTTTATAAAAATAATTTATATATTCTAACTATGAAAAGAAATACAGACTTTTATTGGCAAATATTTTATTTACATACTTCTTTAAGAAAATTAAAAAATTAAATTAAAGCATTATTCTCCTAACAAAATAATGCTTTAAAATATTTCTTTAATTATTAAAGTACAATGTGTCCCGACAAAGGAGGTTTCAATTCAATTTAAGAACACGTAATCTGTGGTGAACGTGGTTGGATAAAACTTTAGCAGCAACAATGTCAAGCAACACCGAGGATACTGATGAAAATTTAACTCCACCTGGCATTCTTGGAACAGCTGAATTCTCGAAACTGACGAATAGTCTTTTGCCAGAAAAATCAAGAAAAGCGTACGACAAATGTTAGCAAGACTTTATGACTTGGAAGCCTATAGCCATGATATTAAATAAAATAGTGTATGCAACTGCATATAATTAGCTATTAAAACACTCGTGTAATTTTATTTTCAAAAAACTACACTCGTGTTTTAATATCTTCTATTATATGACAGTTGCATTAACTACTATTATTTAAGCTGACAATCATAAGTTCATAAGGTTATTATTGCGTTAGTGACATTAAACCACTATTCCTCCTAACCGTTTATAGTATATGTGTACAGGCTTCCGTCAATGTTTGAATGTTATCGGTACACACGCACACTACAATGAATAGCTGACGGTTCGCAACTGACGCTCGGAGCAAACTCCCCGCACCCCGCGATCCCTTCAACCAAAAATTGGTGGGGCACGTCTTCGTGAATTGCACTATGTATACGTTTAAACGTTTTTTCCATATGAACTTTGCAGGATGCGCTGAGCCAAGCATCAGCCTGTGTGGCATTTCAGTTCGCGCCTCCTGGAGTAGAAAGACCGCCACCGTACTTCGACAAACTAAACTCCTGGCTGGGACAGGTGTTGCAAAGGGAATCGGATATGGTATGTACAGAAATAACTACTGGATCGCTTTTAAATTTATTCACCATAATGCTATACCCTGAGTAAGATCAGCTATATTTATTTAAAAAAAAAGGTTATAAATAAAAATTGATTATACTAATTAAACTAATAGTAGTTATTGAGCCGAAATTGTTCGAGCCTGGTCTATGCATATGATATAGATACCGGCAAACATCTTGAACAAATGTCCTTGCCTGCGCAGAAGCGATTTTTAGGTATCACTGGGAGGGGCGGCGGGAGTGACGTGTCGATCGTGTGATTGGTAAATCAGTTGACGTTTGTGTGTGTGTGTATGTGTACGATGCGTAAACTTTCCCCCACTCCCTTGTTTAATGCTCAAGAAGTTTGCCGGTTTCTATATACTACATACTACTATATACTATATGCCGGATTTTTAAAATATATTTTCAAAACCAAAAACTCGCTATCTTTAAAGAATTAAAGAGAAATCAAACCAAAAGACAGAGATGTTTCAGATTCACATAGAAGTATGCGAAACAGAAAGTTATGGTGTGGTCCTGAGGTATTGTCCCCTCGAAGGGTCTCTTCTAGAAGAGGATTCAGTAGAAGCATGGGCCTCCGTTCTAGAAGCTCAGCTGAATGTCTTACACGCAACGGTGGCTTTGAGAGAACCGTTTCAGGAGAGAGTGGCTCAGCATCCGGCATTACGACTTATCCATGTACCGGGATGGGCTGGTACGTTAATCGTTTAGGCCTATATTCTAAAGTAAATTAAATTGAAATCTAGTTCTATGAGCTGTCAAACATGTCATGAAGTTTGACGGATTTGGGAGCGTTCAAGTATTACGTCACGCAAATTTGTTACGTAATACAACCCCCCTCCCCCAAATTTGTTACGTAATACAACCCCCCTCCCCCCAAATTTGTTACGTAATACTTGAACGCTCCGTTTGACAGTTCTCAAAATTGTCACTTGATGATAATAAATTTAAAATTAAACGTAGCATTTTCGGTTTATACCATATAAATTTGTCATTTAAGAACAGAAAACATTAGGCCGGCAATGCACTCACGAGCTGTTTGGTACAAAGAAGGTTCACCATGATTGCATGAATGGCTTGAACTGATCTTGTTTCTAAATACAGTGTAAACTGTTTAGAGTTTTTCTTTATAAAGATTGACGTTATAAAGAGTTTGTATTTCGAAAAAAAAATTTTAATTTAATTAAATTTGTGTGGTCAGGTCTTGGTGGTGTCAGATACGTTCCAGCGGGCTGGGAAGACGCACCCTCAGAAGAGATAAACTCGTTGAATAGAAAATTAGTTCACACGTTGCGGGCAACAGATGGCGCTTTTTCATGCAGCGAAGGCGAGGATGGTATGTTTTGTGTTAGGTGAGAATACAATACTATTTTAATTTATTAAATACTAACGACCCGCCCCGGCTTCGCACGGGTGCAATCCTGATACTACATACACTACAGAAAAGCTGTGAACGATGTATATAAGGGAGCGTTCAAGTGTTACGTCACGCAATTTTTGGAGGTTATTGGACCCCCCCATGTAACGCGCAGTAACGTTTTTCTGAACCCAAGTACAGTACTGTACCATTATGTGGTGTACAGTACTGGAAAGTCGAAAATAATATTGAAAATGACGCGTAATTCAATCCCCGCCCGTTTATCCCGTTTTATCAAAGGATGCATATAAACCTTCCTCTTTAATCACTCTATCTATTTAAAAAAACCGCATCAAAATCTGTTGCGTAGTTTTAAAGATTTAAGCATACATAGGGATATAGGGACAGAGAAAGCGACTTTGTTTTATACTATGTAGTGATAAATTGCGGAAATTTTATTAAAACAGTTAAATCGACCCCACAATTGGGTAAATATATATTTGCGGCTATTTCATACTTTCGTTACTATGGTTTAAAAATGTAGTCTACGAGGTTCTATGAGATTTTTTTTATATTTTAAGATTCGGCATGGTAACGGCAGAAACTGATGTTGAAGAGTTGTTAGAATTGGTGCTTTCGGCCGGTAAAGAGGTTGAGGAAAGTTCAAAGGTGCTTACAGATATGACTGAAGTATTAAAAAAAGGTAAATTATCTTATACTTTTTGCTATTACTATATAAATTACTATAATGCTTTGTTCATATATAATAAATATAAAAAAACAGCCTTTTAATATAAATAACGGTGTGGCCGGGAATCGAACCTAAGACCATTACGCACTAATTGCGAATTTGGCAGAAAGGTTTTTGGTATGAGCCAACTGTCCTATTATTTTTAACTAGTACGTTTTTGTCTCTTTCTAACAAACTGCTTTACGTTATGATAAAAAGAGACAGAGCTACTGAAAATAGTGCCGTTTAAATTTATTTTTTTATGAATAAGGGGTTCTGAAAGTATAATATTTAACGCCACTAATTAATTATAAATTCGTTTCAGGTATAGAAGCTGCTCAAGAGGAGTTAGAGCGGGAAGCCTCCCAAGAAGGGTTATTACGTCGGGTTCCAGTTGTAGGAAGAGTGGTTTCGTGGTGGGCCCCCCCTCCCCCTGTTACCGGAAGACGGCTTCTCCTCACACACGGCGGCACACTGCAATCTACTAGTGATGTGTATAGGTAACCTTATGCTCTATGTTATCCTGGTACTTTTGATTTAAAAAACAAACAAGCTAAAATTAGATAGATTCTAAGATAATGGTCGATTGTTAATGAGGTCGCCGGTTCGAATCCCTGGAAATTATTAAAAAAAAAAATAGTTGGCGTTGTATGTCTCCTAAGTAAATTATATTAACCGCCATTTAAGTACCTATCTGGAGAACTTGGACTGTCTGACTATACTAAATTTCATCATAATTAATTCAGCTTATTCATTTAACTATTTAGTTAAGAGTGCAGCCATCTTTTTGTCATTTAACCTGGTGTAATTTTCAGCTGCGTAAAGAAAGATAAAGATGAGGAACCTGCGCGTGCGCATTCGCCATCGCGCCGCGAAACTGTCGAGTAACATCACACACGCCAAAGGCAATTTACATGTAGTATTATAAGGCACGTAACTTGGCCAAATTCTACAATGAATAGTAGATAACCATAAACAACGACACTGGCCAACTTATTTGTTGCACACTATACCGTACATACAGTCGACTTCATACATTGTCACACCAAAAATTGCTATACTGTGATATCAATAGTTTTTTAATTGGCTGTGCCGTTATTTTTCGTATTTGCTTTTTACTCTGTAGTAAATAAGATTTACACTGTATATGAGTTATAGTGCTTTTCATGAAAGAAGTCCCGCGGATATTTTTGGAACTAAATTTGACAGGTCGGCAATGTTGTCATTCGTCGATGTTATCAAGTTCGTTTGTTGTGGTAGATTTTTGTGAATTTTTAACTATCTTAGTGCATTTTAAATATTGATTACAATGCCAAAAGTTGTAAAAAGTTCGGCTCGAGAATTATATTAAAGGTGAAAGAGTTCTGTGAAGCGGAACATAAGAATCAAGGTGTTTTAATACCACTAAACAATGTTCGGAAGAGAGTTGCCGCCATAACAGGTACTTTTTAGAGTTGCCATTTAATAATTTTTGCTGTATTGATGGGAGTTTTATGATAATATAAATTCGTTTTACGACAAAATTGAACAATCTAACTGATGAAACTGGTAACTGAAATTAAAACTATATTACATAAGCATTATAAACTTAAAGTTACTATTATTTTTAATTGTTCATAATTTAATTGCAGGTGTGTCAGAGAAAACTGTATCAAAATTACAAACGAAGGTGTAACACGGCGTGTACTTCAAAAAAATTGTAACCCGGGAAGAGTCGCCCGCATCCGAAAAAAGTTCGACTTAGACGGGTTCGATTTGTGCGCTATCCGGCAAAAAATTTACAGTTTTTACGTCTACATAAAGAATTACCAACATTGGTTAAATTACGGGCAGCTCTCAGAGGACATCAATTATCAGGGAAATCACAACATTGCACAGGATATTAAATAGAATTGGTTTCAAGTACAAGCGATGTCAATCCAGACGAAAACTACTTATGGAACGCCACGACATTACCGCATGGCGTGCAAGATTTTGAATAAAATACGAATAAATCGCACTGTGGAAACCAGTTGTATACTTAGATGAGACCTATTACACAATACTTATCATACAAAACGTTGTTGGCAGAGTGAGGAGGAGCCAGGAATGTTCGTCTCAGAATCATCAGGAGTCGCTGGATAATGTCATCGGGAAAAAAGATGGATTCATAAATGGTGCATTATTAATGTTCAAATCCCAATCAAAGTCCTCAGATTACCACATGACATGAACTCAGCAAATTTCTTAAAATGGGTGACGGAAAAACTAATACCTAATCTACCTAAAGGTCGCTTGTGGTAATGGATAACGCTCCTTACCATTGCACTCAATTAAACAAAGCCCCTTCTATTCAAATATAAAAAGTAGTATGCAAGAGTGGCTCCGGCAAAAGGGTTATATTTTGAAGACACCTGGACAAAAGTTGTGCTGTATGAGCAATCAAACAAAATAAAGGTCCACCGAATTGCGTGGATAATTATTAACAGCTCACGGAACGAAGTATTAAGGTTGCCGCCTTACCATTTGACCTCAACCGATTGAGAATATCTGGAGCTTTAAAAGAAAGTGGCGGATAAGAACGTGGCACAAATCCAAAAGAAATATTAAAATTAACTAAAGAGGCCTTTGAGTCTATTACGGCTGAAGATTGGACAGCTCAGTGCTCGCATTCGAATTAGAGGAGGAATATTTAAAAAATACGGCCTTATGGATGAAGTGATGGACGAATAATTATATCAACTCTATATACTGAAAAGATCTGATTCTGTTTCAATCACTCTCGAAGTATGTCCTATGGCCGTTGATACAATTATCAATAAAATTAAAAAATTTATTGCTTTTCTTTACCCTATTTTCTTATCTTTCCTTAATAGGTAGAACACCAATATAAGTAAATAAAAATATACTTTTACATAACAGATATATTGTTTCATCGAAGTACGCAGAAAATAGTATTATTTGATAATTAATTCTAAATTAAATAAAATAGGTAAATTTTTACTCATAAATGGCAACATTACGTCATGCGATTGCACGCCGCGTCTGGGGACTTCTTTCTGAAAAGGACTATACGCACACATGAAATTTAAACGCTTGTACATTTGAATTTAGAATATAGTCTATTCTAAATTTGAATTGTTTAATCATAAACGTACTATTATTTACCTTAACAATACCAGATAAAACCTTCAAATGCTATAATGTTATAAGTGTGTTTTGTCTCGTTCCTGCAAATTATATTAATACTTAGATGGAAAGAGACGGAAAATTCTTTATAATTGCTTTTTAATGGCTATTTAGTACGTTTATATGGTCTTATAGTATTTATTGATTTAAACGCATTTTTGTTTATATGCAGCCGACTGTATACTACTAGTTTTAATTAAGCTAATGTAACATACCATAATATTTATTATAAATCCAAAGTTTGATAAGTTCTTAAGTCGAAGTTGAGGGTAATTTTTTTTTTTAATTAGAGTTGATACTTAGTAAAGTATAACCCGATTTTGACATACGAGTGTCTATTTATTGTCTGTTATTTTTGGTACTAACCAAAGGTAATTTAAAAATGGTTGTCAATTTGTGTCTGGACCGTTGTCTTAATCGTCAATCAAACTTAAATCTAGTTTCAAGAGCTGTCAGTTTTTTCTGTATGATGTCAAGATTGTGACTTGAGATACGATTTAAAATATGTAATATAATTTAAACATTAACGGTCATTGTAAAAGCCTTAACAGTATTTGGCTTATTAGGTGCAAATTATCTCAAAATCTTCTTTGTATTTAAGCATAATTGCATCTTGTGATAGTTTGTTATGCAGTATTTATTTTAGTACAAACATACCGAATATGTATTGATAATATACGTACGTTTTAGTGATACCCCTTTCTTAATGATACTATTAGAAAAAGATAACATAATATACTGCCATCTATATTTAATGTATTTGACATCTTTCACTGTATATAATTAAAATGTTCAAATTAGATATTCTGCTTGCAATCTACCAATTAGCACCTTTGCATGTAATTTAATGAGGCAAATTTTTGTAATAGTCTGATTATTAGATATTTATTGTAAACCTAAGGATATAATAAAGTTATCCAACGTTATTGGTTTTTTAATGTAATCTAGAGATTCCTTCCTTCCTTTGCTTCTTTATGAGGGAAACCCGTTGGTAGCCGTGCTGGTCAAAGACAGTTACTTTTTACAATATATGAGGTGAAAAATGATAATAATGTCTATGCCAGGTATAAGTATAAAGGGATTTTGTAGATGGCAAAAAGAGTTATTAGAGATAGCGAGAAAAACAAAGATATTCCGCCGCTTTTGTGGCTAAGTAAATTTTTATTTTAAAAATCGAACCCAGGACACCGTAACCCATCAGTAAGACAACCAACCTTAACCAATAGTTACGGGGGCGATAATCGTTTTAAATAAATTTAGTCAAGGTCGCAATTATTAATTGCGCCGTTAAAAACTTCGATCGTTAGAGGCTGTATATAAATAAACTCGAGCCCAGATGCGTAGATGATTGATCAGGGAATAGGCTACAGCGCATGCGAGCTATTTCCTTGCGCTGTGGTCCAAGGGAAGACTTATTAGCATATTTTATTCCCAAAGGATTTCATGTTACTTGTATCTTATATAAAACTAGCTGCCCCCGCGAACATGGTAAATTTTGCTATGCTACCCTAGAGACCGTTCGGTTTTCTGGAATGAAAACTAGGTTTTCCTGTGAACTTTTCTCTATATAAACCTCAGAGTTATAGTCATAAGATTTTAAATAACAAATAAAAAAATAGGGGTTGATCGTAGAGGGGTGACAATTAAGGGTTGTATGTATATAATACAATAAAAACAACATATAAAAAGGGATGGACCACCTTAACATTAAGGGGTTTGAAAGATAGTAGCCGATTCTCAGACTTACTGAATATGCGTAACAAAATTCATAAGAATTGGTCAAGCCTTTTCGGAGGAGTAATGGGTTCGAACATTGTGACATTTAGAGAATTTTTTATATTAGATGTAAAAATAATACGTAGTGAACATTTTAAATGAAATACTAATGTCAAAAACAGATTTAATTTGTTAAGAGTTTCTTGTTAAGCATAAAATATTTTTACGTTAAATATAACGGACAACATAATGGGAATCGAATGCTCTCTGGTTCGTTGTTCCTGTTTTAACCATACATTCTTAAGTTTGTACAAGAAACATTCAATTACATCTTTATTGCGCCTATAAATTGTACCAAGGGCGAATATATGTCCAATTTTACTTAGTTCGATGCAACCGTTGCCCGTGCAGGGTGCATTTTGCAACTATCATTTAAAAGATTGCATACTGATGATTCGAAATCCAACAACCGGTGACAAAGAATTTTAAATACCTGTTGCTGTGGTGTGCGCTGAATTTCTAACTTTTTGAATTGACTGTTACGATGTCAAAGATTATACTTAGAAGTATAGTAGTGAACCGGAAGGTCCACATACGAATCAAACGAAAGTGGAACTACGTCACTTTATCTCTTTTTGCCCTAAGCTTTATAGTATACTTTAAGTACACTCTAGGCACCACTTTTTCACTCACAAAGTGGAAAGATGATATAAGCTGTTACTATGATACCAATGATAATAATTTATCAAGTATCACAGCGTTTAATCCGACCGGTCGATCGATATTCTTCAATGATCCCTCGTGCAACGTTCGCGTTTTTCATCCAAAGGATGCGTGCTCTATTGAATCCGCTGCGAGGGCGCACCGGGATTGGCCGATCTATGTTCTTTTCAACAGTCCCGTTTCAAATGAAGAATTAAAAAGGAATGACGTATTAAAAGTCCTCATGAAGCTTCCAAATATACACTTCGCTCGAGTTAACATTGAGGAACTTTCCATGGGTACACCTGCAGAAGGATTCGTATCGAGTGGAGCTTTAAACGATACCGATTGCGCTATAGCCTTCACGGAAGTTCTGGTGAAATATATAACGCTGTATAAATGGGGAGGCATTTTCATGGAAAAAGACTTTATAGTGACGAAGTCGTTGAGCTCATTACCTCGGAATTGGGTTCCGAAGTCTGATGATCAATCCATAGGTTCTGGTATACTTGCAATCTCTAAAGAAGGGCGATCTATTGCTGAAGCCGCGTTAAGGTATAGTGCCCAGTCATAGGAGAATTTTGTATGATGGTGAAATGATCGCTATAATCAATTCATTTCCAGATTACTTATAAAACATCACAAAAATTTTGACTGCACGAATGGAGAAAATGTAATGGCCAAGATTGTAGAGCAAGAATGTTCCACGCCTAATCCTATCAGCAATGCTGCAATCTCTTGCAATGGTAATAATCGACGAACTTTATAACTTCATAGCTATTTTCAGTCCCTTGAGTTAATTTATGAAACCTCTCCCTTTTTTAGGATTTGAAATCTACGGCCAGCAGTTCTTCTATCCAATAGAAAGCCAACGTGTAATGGACTTTTCCCAGCTTGGCGAATTGCCGGGATACGAGACAGCATACACATATTATCTCTGGACCAAGATGGGAATCGGCACAGGAAGAAAAAAACGAATCGGATCCCGTTACAGCAAGCTTGCTAGGAAACACTGTCCCGCTATTTATTATGCGTTTGCTTATAAATTTTAAGTATTGCAATCAATTTTACAGATACATTGGAAAATGTTTCAGATAAGTTCGTGGCCTCTATAGATGGGACTTAGTTCGACCAAGCTTTAATTTAAGTCTATTATTTTTTGCTCAATCAGAATTCATTCTTTCTTTGACGTTTCTAGTCTTTTTTACTGATTTCTATACGTGATATAATTATAACTTCACTAGAATTCTTTGTCGGGTGTTATTTATGAAGGTAGATACATACCAACATCCATAAGTTACACCTTGGTTGACTGGTATGTGATTTCAAGCTATTTTAAGAGATATATGTATTATTAAATATTTTAGAAGTACTTATTACAGCTATTATTGAACATCTAGTTTAAAACTTTGAAAAAGTTGTTTCTCATAGTCTAATAGAATTTATATGCAATATTTTTAAATGTAATTTACAGAAAATGTATGTAAATTTGCGGTAAATTCACGATTAATAAAAAATAACTACCTAATATACCTACTTATTTTATTTATTACATTAGATACTTAGTTATTAGCGTAAAAGTGTTTTAATTGTAAAAACGATGACAATAATCACGTATTTATTAGTAATGAAGCATTTTTGTCACGATTTACTGAAAACCAGTAATAAATAATTTGAATGCAACTTCTACGCGCATTGGCGTCACTTTTTACTTGTCACTTATCACTTTTTGAGGAAGGCCTACGTTGGTTTAGAATTTCGAATTGGTAATCCCAAATCGGATATACGCTCCCTTTTTATATGCCTACACAACATATCAAGATTACATCCTATTGTTTTGTTACAATAGAAAGGCTTGTTCAACAGATAGACATTTATAAACACTATGAGAAACTGCGTTAGTACTCACACACAATACTCTAACAGATGTGCGTGTAACTATAATAAATATCGTCTTTATTATACTAGTAACGACTTAAAATCCGTAACAGACTTTATTTTTTAATAAAATGGTAATGGTATAGTACCGATACCCGAACCAATAATAGTGCAGTAGATAGTGTGTAGTGACAGCGATAGCAAGACTATTCATCAAATTCATTGAAATGCTCGTTAACATTAAACCTCGAAGAGTTTTAAGAAATATTGAAATATTCATATTTGTATGTGTATTCGGCTTGTGCTTATACTGCCTTGTGCATTCCACACGTGAACTTACCATGTACGAGTTGATACATAACAACAAAAGTGATAACATATCATGCCATTATATTGATGGTGACGATTATCTCCCCACGGTCGATGGCACGTTTTCTCCTGCCCAATATCCGATTTTTTTCCACGACACTAGCTGTAAAGGATATTTAAATTCCCGCCAGATGTGTGCAATAGAATCGGCGGCAATAAGTCACCCAGAAAGAAACGTCTACGTCTTCTTTAGCGGTCCTGTTTCAAAGTCAGCATTGCTAGGAAAAATGTCTATAATGTATAGTTTCAGTAACGTGATGCTAGCTAGAGTACACATAGACGAATACTCTGCAAACACACCCATACAATTTTTTATAGAAAATGGCACATTGAAAAACACTAGCTGGGGAATTGAAAATACATCAAATGTTCTAAGATTTCTCTCACTTTATAAGTGGGGTGGGGTGTACCTAGACACAGATGTAGTTGTGGTAAAACCATTTGATCTTTTAGGAGAAAACTGGATTGCAAAAGAAGACATGTTCACAATAAACTCGGCAGCAATTTCTTTGGATAATTATACATTAGGTCGAAAAGTTGCAAATGATTTTCTTGAGTAAGCATTTTATACTTTTGAAAAATAAATAAATTCCTTTAAATAAACTTTGTAATAATACAGTTATAATTTATGTCCCTTGTAACATAGTTGTATCTAACCTTAAGGTAATAATATACCATCTACTTTCAGTGAAATAGTGAAACATTATAAAAGCGATAATTGGGCACATAATGGTCCTGGTGCTGTCACAAGAGTCTTAACAAGGTTCTGTGGAACTGATGACTTATCAAAAATGACTAAATCAAAATGCCAAGGTACTTGAATAGTAACTTAAGATCACTTAGTTAATTTTAATATTCTACACAACAGAAATATTTTTAAAAATTGCTATACATGCACTTATGATGGCATTAACATCAAAAGGGAGACTCACTCTGATGAAACTTTTGGGATTTTTTTAAAATATTAAATTTATTCATGACATTTATTTGAATTGGTAATTTAAAAGAAATTTATTGTTTCCAGGATTTACTGTTTTAGAGCCAAAATACTTGTATCCAATTCATTATAATGATAGAATGCGGTACTTTCAGCATGGTAATCCTGAGAACTATCCCGATGCTTATTTGCACCATATTTGGAACAGACTTACTCATCACTTAAAAGTTCCAAAACATTCCTTGTATTTTAAATTAGCACAGAAATATTGCCCCTCAGTATATAAATTGTATAATGAAGAATTCGGTTTATAGTTCTGACTTTCAAAATGTGATATAGAACTATATATTTCATGCCTCTGTTAATGATTTGATTGATTGATCACTATTTTAATTGAATTCTACTACTATTTTTCTTGAGTTGAGATATAAAATTTGATAGAATTTTCAAACAATTATTTTGATTAACTTCTTATTAGAATCTAAAAATATACTAAAAAATTCACTATGTAGGTATTTATATAAAATCTAGGTGCTGTATACTTGATAGAGCAAATATGTATATATTTGAAATATAAGGTAGTAGAAGACATATTTAATTCTATGAAATAGCACTTTTTTACTACAAAGTTATAGTATTACTGAGGTTCTCTTCACAATTTAATGTATTGGGGCTTATATACAACGAAACTTATGGCATTTATTAGGATGTATAAAGGTAAACACAAAATGCAGTTTTTTTTGGGTATTTTATTACTTACAGTAAAAACCGTCACATCACTTCTTAGCGGCCGCACCTACTTTAGATTTCTTAGTACCACGCACCTTCTTCATTCTGTTCTTACGTTCTTTACGCTGTTTGCGCGTGGGTCTCTTCTTTTCGTACAATCCATGGCGCGCTAACCTATGTTTGGGCTCAAACTTCTTAGCGAAATCTAAGGTGTCGTAGATTAGACCAAAACCTGTGGATTTGCCACCTCCAAAGTTTGTCTTGAAACCGAACACGAAAACAACATCGGGTGTCACTTTGTACATCTTCGCCAGCTTCTCACGGATTTCAGTTTTGCTGACGGTGGGCTTGCCTGGATGGAGGACATCGCATACCATCTGCTTTCTGGCCAACAATCTGAAACCACAAGCATAGTCACATAACCTGTCTCAGTGACAACTCTTGAAAGACGACATCAATTGACGATTTTATCATGAAATATCACTATTACCTGTTGGTCATGAATTTGCGAGTACGAATAGTCGCGGTTCCTTCACTCATTTTGTATTATTTTAGATATTTCGGCGTAATTTACGCACGTGTCTCCCAACAACTTGACAAGAAAAAGAACGTGTTTGTGTTGCCACTTCCCGGATGCAACGCTTTTGTCATTAAAATAACAATTGACATCTAATGTCAAACGGTGTTGATATCGTGAGTCTGTGCTATGAGTATTCTGTAAATTCAAAAATAAATTAAGTATTTTTCGGAATGATACTCATAAAACACGCTGAGCATTTAATAATACTAATAAAATGATTTATCACGAATAGAAAACGCATGAAATATCTTAAAAGGACTTAAAAATTTAGCTTAAAAACTATAGCAAATATAGTATTAGCTGCTTGTTACTATATAGGCAGCGGCACGTAAGTCTAGCGCTGGCCGATACGTGGAGGGGATTGCTGCGCATGTGTACTGTCGCGCGGGGGACGGAATGCGACTGGAGAGCCAATCGACGCCACGCGCGCCCGCTAGCCCCCCTCAGGTACCTTATTTTTTTACTTCTGCGCAATAACGGTCAGCGCTAGAGTTTCGTGCCGCTACTTGTACTAATAAGCATAAGGCAAGCCTCATCTAGTGCAACACTATGTAAAAATACGACATATCTTCACTTCCCTTGAAAATACCACTGTCGGAACTCGGATATTTTTTTTTTTTCCTTTATGGCTCTGGCACGGTTTGTGCATTAGCCAGCGTCAAGAAGGTATAAGATTTTTGTAAGTCGCTGTTTTAATTATTTACAGTTTAATAATAAAAAACGAAGGAAACTAATCGCGACATAACATAGATGATTGAAAACGCATTAAATTTACAACAAAATCAGAATAGTTACATAAAGGGAAAAATAAATCAAAATTATAGTTTAATGTTATTATTTACAATAAATATACTTATAATACTATATACAAGGGGATTTAAATCTCGAAGAAGTAAAGAAATATTGGTAGGAAGGGGTACAGAGAGAGATACTAAAGAAGTATATGTATAAGGAAACTCGGATATTATAGATTGTGGTTCGCGTCAGTGTTGCCATATCAGAGGATTTCCTCCTAGATTTAGAGGTTTCCCAACCAAGTTTGGGGCAGAATAGGAGAAAAGAATATTTGGGGGTTTTTTAGGGGAAATTTCTAAAAACACGCCAAATACAGTTTTTTTTGCTATTGTACGTTACGTTCCTGATTTTGGAACTAAATTAAAGTACGAACACATCGTAAGAATAGGATCCGTGTTGTTAACCTTACTCATTGTATATTCGTTTGAGCTGTGATGTGATTTTAATTAAATACGAATTCTAAAATTACATGAAAATTCAGTAATAACACTACACAATAATTATTATTTTTTGTATTTGGAGGCATCCTAGGGGGTTTCTGGGGGGAAATCAAATTAGTGCCGGGTGCTAGGGGTGCCGAGACCATCTGGCAATCATTCTCGATGCACTACAGGGTCATGGCAATCTTAGTAACATTCTAAAAGCATTGGTCAATAGAGTGCGAAGAATGATAATTAAATAATCAGAATTTTATTAATTATTATCAGTTTATTTATGAAAAACAATTTTTATTCATAATAGTAATTTTATTTGAATATTATACCACAGTTGCTATGACTAAGCAAGGTCAAGTTAGGTTAGGTAAACAAACTTAAGGTAGTGGTAAATCTGCCACCACCACCATCTTTGGTGGCAAGCGAATGTGGTATTAAGAAACAAGTATTGATAAGGACTGAAAACCGATCGTTATAAAAATAAACCTGTTTGGTCTGTAAGTCCTGTCAGCAATTTATATCATTATAGCATTATTGTATAACTGATGTGCCATACGAAATAAATTGGTAAACTACAGTCATCTACTCTCTATAGCTGAGCCATAGCTGAGCACTATAATATTATACTAAAAAATGATACAATCACGGGAGATTTAAAATTATGTTAATTAGAAAGAAACACAAAACACTCACTTTCATCTATGATTCATCATTACGATTCAACAAAGTTTAACTCCTAATAGAAAAATGAAATATCGTCTAAGTCACAAAGTGAAGCTAAATCGCTATTCGATATTTTATTTTTAGATCATTCCATTTAATCTAAATCATGTTATGGCATTTTCCGCCCTCACGGGACATTGTTATTATAACAAGCACATTTTTTACTTACGTTAAAATAAAGATTAAGAAATAAAACAGACGGGTTTTTAAATAATAATTTACTAAGAATTTTGACTTAAAATTCACTTATTTAGTAATTTCTATTATCAATTGAATAAACAATATTTTAAATCCGTTATATCTATTCACACGACAGAGTAATTGCATTAATAAACGGTAAGGCGCTCTAGTAGCTTCATACCAATATTAATGTAAGGAAAAAAAAGTTTTTCCAAGACTATATAAATTAATTTATGTTTAATTGCTGTTCTGTATATTAAAAAGATAGAAGATATTTATCGTATGACTTTGAAGTACTTTTTCAGTCGATTAAATATATTTTACAATCAGTTACATATAAAGAGTTTTAAATAAAAAAAAATATACGCGTCGAATTCGCAGTTGGCTCAAGACATGGATAAAGAGTAGACACTACTTTCACCGTCCGCGTCGTATCTACGTTATTTTTCACGTAGACTCTTTAATACGTCATAGCCGACTGACCATTTACGTAAGACCCCTTGAACTCAATACTACGCCATCGATTTAAGTTGATAATACATGCGTTGAGAGGGGAGGGAAAGCTCTTCATAATGGTTCTTTCTACGTTATATCGATTTTTAGGAGCCTGTATGGCCTGTACAAGTCGCGACTCTGTGGCTGGCGGTATTGTATATTGGAACTTCTTACATAATTTCGGTATGTATCTTTTTTATTCAACATATTATTTATTATTTAATACTTTGAATACTTGAAGTACAGCACAGTAAATATTAATAATGTCGTTTTTTCTGTAGGTACTTACAACTTTTAACTGTACCTTCTTTTAATTATCTTCTATTTATGTCCTTTATACTTAGTTATTTAAATATTACAATGGGTTTGTAATTGGTTTTGGTAAATCATTTCATAGGCTCATAATGAAAAATTTAATTATAATAATTTTTTTCTAGAACCATGTATCTATTTATTTTTTTATTCCCTAATTTAATAAATGTACATAATATAATCAAATACGAAAAAAAAGACATGGATTTTAAATGAAACCATTTTCAAGAAATATTAATTTACTTTGGACAAAATGTATTATTTTATAGATACAACTATTACTTAAATGAAATCACCTAGTTGTGTTCTTATTTTTTTATTAAATTTACCAGAATCTATATAGACAAATATTCATTTCATTTCGTCATTGCTTAATTTCTTCATCATGCCTATTTCCCAGGCTATTACATAGACAATGGAAACTATATTTCGCATTAAATATATTATTTTAAAAATAGAACCCCTATACTTTACCTAATATAGTATGTAGCTCTAACCTTAGACTTTATAACTACACACGGCCTGATAAACAAATTAGATATACATATTATATTGCTTTATTTATACTTACTTAGGAATTATTTTCTATAAAAAAACCATATCGTTTTGTGATATTATAATTTCAAACAAGCCAAACTTTTAATATATTGTTAAGAATTACTTGGAGTAAATATGATCTCAGATCAGTAGCTAAAAAAGGACTTTTCAATACTTAAATCAGTTGTTAATTTATCGGTTTAAAAAATTGCATATTACCACCACAAACATTATAAATCTGAAGAGCTGGTTTGTTTGGTCGAATGTGCTAATATTAGATGAGCTACTGATTTCTTCTTTTTGTTATTAAATTCTTCTTGTTGTTTAGATATTAATGGACGACTCAGCATGGTTGTAAAAGTGATATAATTATTATACGATGGTTCTTGACAAAATATTGTAGGTAACATTTTATGTAGCTCCGTCAAGGTCAGTGAGGCAGCTTAAATTTATTATGTTTATTCTACGGGGCTAGTTTACTTATAAAAACTTTGTTCACGTATATTAGAAATAGGAAGGGCAACTTTGTTAACTATTAAACTCTTTTTTACCAATACTTGTATAACAGAATTTTATTTTAATTTTCAGGTGCACCGTCATAGATGCCATCGACAAGCAAGAACAGCTGTAAGATTTTTGTTACGATTTGACTGTGACTACCTTGTATGGGTCACTTTAAAACTGCAGACTTCAGCTCTTTGATAAAGATCTTAATGGTTCTTGTTGAAAACAAGCCAAACTCGCTTAAACTCAACAGCGTGGCGAGACAATCTAGTCGATACTCTGCCAGGGATCCTAGATTAAGACGTTAAATCGGGCCAAGCAAACCATCTCACTGCCAGTATTAACTTAAATTGTAGCAATGGAATTTGATGAAAATACTATAGTTCTAAGAAATCGCACTCCACACCATAAAACGAAGCCTCTAGATGCGGTTCGTGAATCTCTTTTAACTGAATCAACGTCGGGAATTGTGAAAGGCGAAGATGATACAACGAGTATTGGTACGACATTCTCCAGCCCCGATGTAGAAAGTAGTAATGATTTCCTTTCTACAAATGGTAACACAACAGAAGTGTGTTATGAAAATTGTAAGATAACTATAAATAATACGATACAAGAAAAAGCTAACCACACCAAGAGCGTAAGTTATGATAAAGAACTCAAAGAGGAGCAGAAACTGATAAATACTGCACCGCCTAAAGCGACAATTCCAGATGGTGGATGGGGATGGGTTGTGGTCTTTTCATCTTTTGTTATCTCGGTGATAGCCGACGGAATAAGTTTTTCATTTGGTTTATTATACATGGAATTTCTGGATGAGTTTAAAGCAAGTAAGGCTACTACTGCTTGGATTGGAAGCTTATTCATTGCAGTGCCGTTACTTGCTGGACCAGTGATGAGTGCTCTTGTGGATAGATATGGCTGTCGAAGTATGACAATATTGGGGGGACTTATTTCTACCCTTGGCTTTGTATTGGCATCTGTTTCAAACTCAATAGAATTGATTATGTTGACATTCGGAGTTATCGCTGGTTTAGGCCTCGGACTTGTTTATGTTACTGCAGTAGTTTCTATTGCTTACTGGTTTGAAAAGAAAAGAAATCTCGCTGTTGGCTTGGGGGCGTGTGGAACAGGCGTTGGTACTTTTATTTACGCACCGATGACACAATATTTGATTAAAGAATTTGGATGGAGAGGTACCATCTTGATTTTAGCTGGTACACTTCTAAATTTGTGCGTTTGCGGTTGCGTTATGAGAGATCCAGAGTGGTGGATATTGGAACAAAGAAAGGAAAAATCTGAAAAAGAGGATTTGAAATCTGTTAGAGATGATGCTAAATCTAAATATTCTAGCTCTGCCTCTATAGCCAATTCTTTTACTTTTGACGATGAATTTACCCGTGGTAAATACATGAAGCGTTTAATTTCTAAGGGAGTGCTAGCAGAGCAAGTTATTCAAGATGAAGTTGCGACAATACGCCGTCGAGAGGTCATGTTGTTCATGAGAAAGAAGAATAGTGAAAAGAAGACAAGTTCTCTTATTGACTTGCCCTCTTATTTGATGAGAATTAATAAGGTAAGAAACTTAATATATTAAAATTTAATTAGGAAACACGTGCATATGTCATGTTTAATATTTTACTTAATATTTCAGATACCTAATCCATTCACAAATACGTGTAAGGAATGTGACGACGCTATGAAATTCGTTTCATCTACAAACAACATTAATGACGGTGATCTTGAACCAAGTAAAAACTCGTCTAAAACCATCCAACTATATATTAACGAAACGAAACCTAATGAAGGTGAAATAAAGAATGAAAAGCCTGAATTCAAAAGGTCAATGTCCGAAGCAAAAGATTTACGACCATTGCTAAAACAAGACAGTAAGGAAAACAAGAGGGATTGGTTCAAAAAACAATTGTCGATAAACCATCATTATCTAAGGGACTTGAAGATGCCATTAAACTCAATAAGCCATAGGAACGCGTTGTTGAATATAAAACGGTATAAATTGAAGGCGTCGTCCTGCCCTGATATATTTAAGAACTCAATGGTTACAGTCAATGAGGATGAAGAGGTAAGGCTTCAAAATTATCCTAATTATTAAATAAATGATTAATAGGCATAAATAGAACTCATTCAGTTCAAGTGAATATTAACAATCCTGCTAAGAATATAGCTAGACATAGGTTTTTTTAAATACTGAAAATTTTATTGATTACAATCAAGTATACAGTAGTAATGTAACCTACAATGTAATAATACAAAATATTAAAAAGAAAATCAAAACAAATTGAAAAAGTTTGGTCCCTGTGGCAGTGTACCTTTAACGCTGGCAACATTTCCTCGCTGTATTATTAAATTAGTTATGAAACGTGTTCATAGACGTTATTTCCTAAATTGCTCAATATACTATTTTTGTATTAGACGCGATTCTAAGATTTTAAGTATGGGGGAAAGTTCGCTTCTTCAGCGCGTCTAATAACTCTGTCCACCTTATTTGCCGGACAGTACAACCTGGTGAAATTTTGTGTGGTGGGGAAAGTTTGCGATGGATAAATGAAAATGTGTGTATTCTATGACTGTGGCTATTGCATTTATATATGGAAAATAAGGATATAGATTTTCAGTGAAAATCATGGGACAATTTTTTTTAATCAGTATTATTAATTTCTCACGTCACATTTCTGTGGCATGGTGTATCTATACATATTACGAGTAGAAATATATTAGACACAGGTTCAAATGCTACTTTAAAATATCACTTATATAATAATAAAATAATATACATTGAAATAAATAACTAAACTTAACATAAACTAAAATATATCATTAAAAGGAGTCCCTTTAGGCAAGGTTCCGAAGATACTGGCAGCGTTCCCCCTTTGAATTGCTAGGCTAATTCTTTGTCCGAGGTAGCTGCCAGATCTTCGGTATCCTGTGATGTCGACTAACCTTTTTGAAATTTCTTTAAAAAGCCTTAAAGCCTTACGAGTAGTATATTAAAATTAAGAAAACATATTGTGTAGTGAAGCGAAATTTTTTAAATTTTATTATTTTTAAAACTCATCATTCATTATAAATACATATGATAATTTTCCTTCTTCAAGGTAATAAGTATTTTACATATTCTATTTCAATTCTTATTCTTATATCTCCATATTTTTATGTCCCCAAGACGTGACTGAACCTCCATTATAACGATAATGTATACCAAATAGTTTCGTATTGTTTTGGTTGACGTTTTAGTAGTACATGTTTATAAAATAAACTATTCTACCTATAAAGTAACTTTGAATCTTCGATTTTCGACATAATCGTTTTAACGTGTTTTCACTTCACTAGTATATTACCCTAGATGAATTAAATGCCATTTAACATAGGACCTTAATAATATACCACTAAGCTTTAATTTTCGTTGGAGTTGAGTAGTATTATAAACAGAAAACCGTGGATTTCGACTCGACCTACTTCACCCAGCGATTAGCTGAAAACGAGTAATCGACCAAACTCATTTCGTAAAACTTCAAATTTCATGTAATAAAACAATCGAGATTGGGACAAAAGAGTATTGGGTCAGATATTAATTTAATTTACTATTAAGAAACAACATAATACATATGAACAAAATATTAATTAATTAATATTAAATTGTTTTGTATGTAATATCAATATTCTCCAACAGAAATGGTACGATGACTGCGTCAGTGTTCTCGCCGATATGTTCAACGTAGACCTGTTCAAGAAAGTCACATTCGACCTTTTATGTATTGGCACGATTATAATTTTCGTATGGTTTATTGTACCATACTTCTACCTCGCTGAGCATATGATACACAAAGGTTATGGGGAAGATGAAGGAGCAGTCTTGTTGAGTCTCATTGGAATTACAAATACAATTGGGATGGTAAGCTTATTTAATTGCATTGGTACATAGTATTAGTATTGTTGGCACTATATAAAAGCCGATTTGAGAAATAATATATATTTTTACTAGCTGCCCCCGCGAACTTCGTTTCTCTTTACTGATTCTGATTTTACTTAGGGTCTGTTTCACATTATACGGATACGTTCCAAATTAGCTATTTATTACTTATTGGTAGGATAAACACTATTGTTGCGTTCACGACTGTCAGATAGCGCTATTCGTCACATAAAGTCCATCTTAAGTCCGATGAATGTCAAATAGCAAAATTTATCTTCCAAATAATTTATGTGTTGCATAGCTATTTGGCACTTTATCCATACATTGTGAAACAGACCCTTAGCCTACCTTTTCAGTACATACCAACATGGAACATTTTGCTGTACCTACTACTCCAGAGACTGTTCGGTTTTCCGGAATGATTTTTTTTTTAGGTTTTTCTGTGAATTCTTCTCTATTGTACGAGTATAAACCTCAGAGTTTAAGTCATAAGTTTTTAACAAATTAAAAATGGAGGTTGATCGTAGAGGGGTGACAATTAAGGGTTGTATGTATTTTTGTATGCTGTGTCATAAAAAATAAAGACAAAAAGTTTAGTCTAAAAATGAAAATGTAAGGGTGGTTCCACCCTTAACATTTAGGGAGATGAAAAATAGATGTTGTCCGATTATCAGACTTACTGAATATGCATAAAATATTTCATAAAAATCGGTCACGCCGTTTCGGAGGAGTAAGGGAACGAACTTTGTGACACGAGAATTTTATATATAAGATTTCTTGATATTTTAATTCATATGTTACATAATATACATATAAGTCTTAGGACGTATTAGAGAAGAGTCAAGCAAAGGTAAAAATACCCATAGCTGATACATGGTGAATATCATGAAAGTGGATGACGTAAGAGAGGTAATATGTCAGGACCGTAGCAAGTGGAGATCCATGCTCTTTGCCTTCGGGAAGATATAAATAAATAAATATTATTATAGTAATGAACTACTACTTATTTTAAAGATAATATTAATCACAACAAACGTGCTGAGGTCGTTTACATAATAATCTGGGAACTGTCTTGCCACCAGTAATCTAATCAGAAACGTGCTTTTTACGACATATTTTTGCTAATTGGGTAGAATGTGTTCGGTCATATAAATATATCAAAGTAATTTTTCTATACTCATTCATGGCATCGAGTTATTAGAAGGCATTGAAGAATCAGTTGTGGTTTTTAGCTAATACGCATTGATGTTTTGAGAATGAAGTGAGAAGTTGCATTTTTATGAAAGTTTGTCTCACCCAGAGCATTTGGAACTCACTTAGGAATAGATATTACAATTTATAAGAGAACTAGCAGACCGGCCAAGCGTTGCTGTGGCTAAGGTTTTTGCTATACATATTACATAGTAGCAAACTATTCTAGGGAAACGGTAGGAGAACACCAGTCATGGGGACCACCATGCTTTTGATTTTGGTGGTTATGCCATTAAATTGTAGCTTATGTGAAACGTTGGTACTTTCAACACAACGCCATTTGTTAAAATTGTGTCAAATACATAATAAAGAAATAATTTGCAATAAAATTACATTGCGGGTATAAATTGAGATGTAAGCTATCCTATCTATTAAGTTGGATCAAACTACACACGGTGTGCAAATTTGCTTGATACCGGTTCGGTAGTTTAGAAGTCCATAGCGGACAAACAACGTGACACGTAATTTTATATAATAAGATATAGTTCTACATACCATATATACGCCGTAATGTGTATGTAGAATTTATTTTAAACAACTGCTCTCAAACCAGAATCCAGAAAACATGTCACCTGATATTTACGTATATAAACGTGCCAAATTCCCGCTTTTAACATTTACTAAATATATCTGGTTTAACCTTCAGATATAATTTATTTTTGAATTATTGATGTTAGGATTACTAATAGAAATTTTAGTTTCATTGCTTGTATTATTATTTATGTAATCAAGTATAATACTATTTCGTTCCCATATCCTTATTACATTAATAATCTATAAAAATAAATCGCAAATATATTTGCTAAGCGCAAAACTCGAAGACGGCTGGATCAATTCGAGTATTTTTTTACTATTTATTCTTTGAAGTCTGAGGTTTGTATTCAGAGAAATATTTTAATTTTGTGAACGCAACGTAAAATAATATTTTTTTGCCAGAAGGCAACATGAAAAACATCTGTCCCAGGCTCGTGATGCACCTACTGAGAACTGTTTTTCCAAAGCTACGTTACCAGTTATATTTATTGTGTAACAATTTAAAAAATAAATAACAACTTTAATATAAGAAAAATTAAATATTTAAAACATACATACAGATAATGAGCATTTAACTAAATAGGCAAATAGGCATAATTAACTCAGAATTGTTATTACGTAATTTAGTTCGTTACGCACTGATTACCTGGGACCACCGACAAACAATGACAATTATTTTGTTTTCACGACATAGAAAAGTCCTTTTCAAAAGTATTTTGTGCCAGCCTTGACCTTTTACACCCAGTCAATTCTATGTATACTATTCATATATACAAGGAAAATACTGACGATACAAAACAATACTTTAAAACGTGAAACTGTATATAAAAGAAGGGTGTATAAAGTTCGAGTTTTGGCATTATCTAATATATAAAATTCTCGTGTCACAATGTTCGTTTTCATACTGCTCCGAAACGGCTAGACCGATTCTTATGAAATTTTTTATGCATGTTCAGTAACTTTGAGAATCGGCTACTATCTTTCAAACCCCTAAGTGATAAGGGGTGTCCACCCAATTTTTTTTTTTATTTTTTTTATGATACAACATACAAAAATACACCCCTTAATTTCCACACTTTTACGATCAACCCCTATTTTTTATTATAGTAGACAGTTATTTTTATTGAACTAAAAAAAAGAAATAACATACATGGCAAAACAACGTTTGCCGGGTCACATAAAAATTCTAAATAATAAGTTGGCTTGATCGAGAATTATCCTTTTCTTTTGTAGGTGGGTCTTGGCTGGATTGGAGACCTTCCAGGAGTGTCAATTGGCAACCTGTATGCCATTTGTCTTGTAATCTGTGGGGCCTCGGTCCTTGCCATACCTCTGGTTATTTACAACTATTGGTTGCTGGCCTTTTTCTGTGGCCTTTTTGGACTGATGTTCGCAGCGGCCTTTACTTTTGTACCTAGTCTTTTGGTAAAGTTGGTGTCTTTGGATGACTTTACCTCAGCATATGGATTGGTTTTGCTAGCGGAGGGGATAGGACATTTAATTGGACCTCCATTATCTGGTGAGTAATAGTGTAGATATGTGTATATTTTGTTTATCTTCCGCTGATATTTTTCTAATAGAGAAACCATTTTAACACAACTCGCTGAAATAGAATTCTATTCACTTATTACTCTGTTTTGTTTATCTATATACGGAATTTAAATAAAACATTTGTAACGGATTTAAACGAATTTATTACTTTATATACATTAGGGTATGATTTAGAGAGTGACAGTAGACATGAAATAAATCTTAATCTTAATGTAGCGTTGGGTGACGTCACCGATACGTTGTCTATAAATAAAATCGGAGTAGGTTTCCTAGAGAACGTTAAATGTCACCGTAACGTCAAATAGCGGTGCTGTCATTTGCATGACGGCCATCATACCGGTGATAAACATTAGTTCAACGTTTTTCGCGTGTAGCGGTGCCGATATTTAATTAATACAATGAGTGGAAACGTGACTTGGAGGAGCGAAAATGATTGTATTTGCATTATGTTAAAAAGTAGACGGCCGTTATTAACAACCGTAAAATGAGGGCCGTTAGTTAACAGCACCGCTTTTCTAGGAAACCTAAGCTTAAGAGCTATCTCAGATACGGAATTATTATATGTACTTTTCCAGGACTGATCTACGATTTGACGTTTTCCTGGGAGCTGTCATTCTATCTTGCTGGAGGTTGGATTATTGTAGCTGGTATCTTAACATCTTTCATACAGCCTATTCGGTCTTACCAGCAACGTAGGCAGGCTGAAAGAGAAAACAATATTATGTAATTTAATTAAAAAAACACGACTCTTAAGCTAAAAGGATCTGATGCCTTAATGCTTCGAAATTATACATATATACATATATATACAACTATTCCATTTGGAACTAAATTAACATTGATTTTTAAACAACCGGGATATTACGTTTGTGTAATTTCAAGCAGTGTTGCGATATATATAAATAACTTTTTTACAGTTGAAATACAATTTTAAAAATATTTTGCTCTATTGATGTTGAATCAATAAGCTATATAACAATTTTATCTTTCGAAAATCTATTTTTATTAAAAAGACAAAATATTCCATATAGTTTTACTAATATGCATTAAAATGTTTCTAGCAATTCACTAATGACTAGAATACCATAGAATCTTCCAAGGCGTTCACGTAAAGATTTTTTTTTTTAAAGATCGTATTTATGATAGCACATACGTGTATAATGTATTAGTAAAGAGACCGATTTCGATTGTTTTTTTACAGATTCCTAAATGTACATAGAGACCGTAACAGGTCGCCATTGGTATACTTATAGTTAACTGAAACTGACTGAAAACTGTGTCTATTGTAGACTTAAAATCTGTTTTGAAATATTTTATTAAGGGAGCGTTCAAGTATTACGTCACGCAATTTTTGGAGATTATTGACCGCCCCGCATCGTAAAGGTGCGTATAAATTAAGCGCGGCAAACCATCGAACATTGGCGCGCGCGGCGGCCGCGCTCTATGTAGACGGGAATGCCGCGCGCGGCGACGCGAACATTGCCGCGCTCGAACGTGCCGCGGGGCGATCCGCTCGCTGTCGGTTTTTGAGACCGCATCAATAGAGCTTCAGTCGTTCGCTCGCGCGCAGTTGGGACGGTTATAGTTTTGGTGATTGGGCTCGCGCGGCGAATACGTAAAAATGGACGAAAAGTGCCGTTTACTAATACAATTGTATAGCGCTAAAGAATTTTTGTGGAACAGCAAATCGTCCCAATACCACAATAAAAAAAAATAAAATATAAAAAAAATAAAAATAAAAAATAAATATAATAAATAATTATATAATTTTTATAGTGTCTTGAACGGCTTCATATCTTATGTCTTCCAGAAGTTTCACCCCATAAAGCGATCTATTTAGATATAATTTCTTCATCCACCAACGCCTTTTTCTTTTATTTTTTTACAAATAAGATGGTGAATCTCAATAAAAGCGGCAGCCGCCCGACCACGACCCGATACAAGAGTGAACTGGTCTGACTATCCGCCGCGGTCTGCTCGTGATGGATCGCCTGCCGCGCGCGGCTGTCACGTCCAACTAAATTTATATCTACATATTGGCTCGCGCGGCAAATGAACGTCAACTCTGGTCGAACATTGGCTCGCGCGGCTGCCGCGCTTAATTTATATGCAGATTTACGTTTTACAAAAGGACACAAAAAAATTCGTTACGTAATACTTGAACGCTCCCTAATCGGCTTTTCACAGCCAATAACTATCTAGTATTAATCACTTAACTCCTTTGGAATCTTTGTAGTAGTAATCTATGGTACTAAAATTTATAACTATCTACAAATATTACACTAAGCACAAATTAATTAGCTTTCTAGTCAAATTATAGTATTAATTATGTAATTAAAATTGAAAAAGTTTACTATTATTGTTATGACACGTTATTATGTAATAAGAAAAAATTAACAGTAAATATTGTTTTATTTAATAGTAGCGTCATTTATTCAATTTATGAACGTCTTCATTGTTCTTGAAAACGTTTTTCTTTTGTTAAATTAGGCGAGTGAACGATAAAATTATGTAACTACAGAACAACAAATATTATAAATTTGTTCTAATTTATTTTATATTTATTATATTAGGGATAAAGTCTTAGGTAGAAGCAAAGCTAATCTAAGTGTATTAACTATATATTAGGTCCTTACATATGAAATTGGCGTATTTCGTACTGGCCACTTTAATCACGATGTTCTCCTCTTCGGTAAGGAATTCCAAATTCAAATTTGTACAGCTATTTACTCATGTATTTGTGCTTCGATGACCGTCATTCATTTGTTTTTTTCTTCTGTTTTTTTCTGTTTGCGTCACTCATTTTACAAAATGGTAAACTTAAAGTATCGCATTATTTACGAGTACGAGTTCCGCCGTGGCACTAGTGCTGCGAAAACGACTCGAAGGGTGAATGATGTGTATGGCGGTCATGTTGCAAAAGAAAACACAGTTCGTTTTTGGTTCCAACGTTTTCGTTCTGGAAATTTCGACCTGCAGAACAAGACCCGTGGACGGCCTGAGACCCAAGTTGATAATGAAGTATTGAAGGCTATTGTGGAAGCGGATCGCAAACCACGTCCGAGTTACCTGCAGGCTGCGGTGTTAGTGATAAAACTGTTTTAATTCACTTGAAGCTAATTGGGACTGAAGCAAACCAGCAAACGCGCGTCGACTGCTGCGTTACATTACTGAACCGGCACAATAATGAAGGTATTTTAAACCGAATCATTACCTGTGATGAAAAATGGATTCTTTACGATAATCGGAAGCGCTCAGCGCAATGGTTGGATCCTGGCCTGCCAGCCAAATACTGCCCCAAGCGAAAATTAACCCCTAAAAAGTTACTTGTAATCGTTTGGTGGACTAGTGCCAGTATTGTTCATTGCAGTTTTCTCAAAACTGGCCAGACTATTACGGCTGATGTCTATTGTCAGAAATTGCAAACCATGATGGAAAAGCTAGCGGCTAAACAACCTAGGCTGGTCAATCGCTCCACGCCACTGCTACTTCACGACAACGCTAGACCACACACTGCACAACAGACGGCTACCAAATTAGAAGAGCTTCAATTGGAATGTCTAAGACATCCTCCGTACTCCCCGGACCTTGCTCCAACAGATTACCATTTTTTTCGAAATTTGGACAACTTCTTGCAAGGGAAAAAATTTAACTCTAATGGGGCAGTCCAAATCGCCTTCACAGATTTTATTGATTCCCGTCCGACTGTTTTTTTTAGTATATGGATCAATGAACTACCTATGAGATGGCAAAAGTGCATAGAAAACAATGGTTCATACTTTGATTAATTAAATATATTATATTTAAAAATATTCGACTTTTTGTTCCTCCCATACAAAACGCCAATTTCATATGTAAGGACCTAATATTTTATACCAACAATAACCAGTTATGATAATAATTCTACTTATAAAGATTTAGACTTTTCTATAATTATTATCGCAAGATTTCTTTGAATTCGAAAGACTGAGAAATAAAGATATTATTATTTTTCTAAATTTTATATAAATTCTCAGAAGTACTTTGAGGTTGAGATGGTCCTCGCCAAATTTGCTCATTCAAACTAGGTACAGTATCTGTCACTTGTCATTTAATCTGAAACCGCGTTCGTTAACTACCTTTGTACGTAAATAGGTATATCATTAGTGTTTGAATTTAGGCCAAAACGACCGCTTTCGTCAGAGTAACAATTAAAACAATTGCTTTGAGAAAATTGCATGTATGTGCAAAACGATAGTAAAATTCCACTTTATCTTAGATCACAATAAAATAAAGTCATAAGTAAATATCGTTATCAAGAGATAATTAACATTTGTCGAGAGGAATTCTGCGTAACGGACGTTTTATGAATAGATTTAAAAATGGGGATTTTATGTTTGAGGCGCGACGCGGGTCTCGCCTCATAAATAAATTCTCAGATCCCAGAGTGTTTTGTAAGCTAACGCACGTTTGTGAACTGTTTCTGTGTATCAGCTGTTTTATTTCAGTTTTACTGTGGTTACTACGTGTCCAGGTATGTACTTTGTTTAGTATTTGTATAGTTTGTAATGTTCATCATTTATTGTTACTAGTTTTTGTCAATGTTTTGTTTAAAACCCTCAAGGATACGGTGCATTGTATAAGTTGCTTTGTTGAATATTGAAGAGATAAAAAAGTATAGTCGCAAACATAACCATTTATCTTTTTACTGTGTTAGAATTGAATTTAAATCTATAGTTAAGTACGTACCTATGGAGTTTAAAAAGATAGGTATTAAACAAACAAATATTATACCGGCGAGATGGCCAGCTTTTTTATTCAACTTTTCATAAATTTTTTATAGCCTGCTAGTAGGTACGAATCTTGTTTATACAAGTTTATTGCATTATAAACGTTATCTTTTCACTGATAAAGTAAATCTAGATAATGATCCTAGGTATCAGGGTTTTCTCCTCACTTGTAGATTCTAGATTTCAATCGGTTGGCATTGGTTAATAATAATTATAACCATTTATGTTATGTATATAAAAATTTCAATACCATTGGATAGTCTAAATATGAATTCCGAAGTAACTCGAGATATGAATCACATAACCACAAAGGATTTTAGTTTAATCTTGTCTCGGGTTAGTATTGTTGTCTGATGTGCCCTACGTCGTGGAGCAGACACATATCTGTTTCATCGATAAATAAGGCAGGATTATCAGCATTATGTGTCTACCTGAATTTATTAGTGTTACCGGTCGCCAGGTAAACCTGGGGCTTTTGGTTCTATGCGTTAACAATAGGGACACGAAAGTGGTAAATAAATGACTTACACCTTTAAGGTTAAAGATATTTATTGCTTATAAATATTTTCAACAGGTTTTTATTTTTTATTGATTTTATATACAAAATATACGTCAGTGACGTCAGGCGCCCTTTTCTCTTTCGAATTACTTTCACTTAATGAACATGAAACAAAGTATTTTGTAATATGTATCAGGTTCTTACATATATTATACCGATAAAAAATCAATTAATTCTAGTTAAAATCAGTTATTGATTCTAGATATCTTTATTAGGATTATACCACGTTTTTTGTTATTTGATTCTTATCGCAATTTACAATCTTGAGTACTGTCAGATATGATAAATCGTGGATAAGAAATAGTTAGACAGCCCTATTAAGAAATAAGGTATACAAAAAACCTCTTTAGTTTCTTGGTCTATTAATATGGAATTTTAAATAAATAAATCATGATGTCT